CCCTTAGCTCCTCCTCACCTTACCTTCCTGCTCAGAGAGGTTTTGCACCCTGGAGCTGTGGGTGAGAGTGAGTAAGAGCTAGGGAGAAAGACGTTGTATCACAGGTAAGGTGGGAAAGGAGACTCAGCAGGGAGTTAAGTAGTGGAATGTTATTCTCCTGACCTATCCAAGCAGCCACAAACCCTATGGGGAGACTATCTCACACCCCAGAGTCTGTATACCCCAACTTGAAGATTCCTCCAATGGACACTTAACACCCACCCTAAGGACAGTCACATTTTTAAATACATCAAAATGTGGTTCAGTGTATTCAAATCACTTTCTAGATTGTGTGAGATCTTGAAAGTGAGCCTAATTATCATAATGTATAATGTAAAGGTACAACCCTATTTCTGAAGTACCAGCCAAATCTCAGAATTAAAATGCCTTAAAAATGAAACTTGAATTGTAAACATTACATATGTTGATCTGAATATTCTTTGAGCATATTTAAATATTCTGCCTTTTATGCTGATTTAAAACATTAGCTCTTCTAAACCAGAGTAAATCAATATAATAGTCCTTGAAGTTGCAAATAGCATTTTACTAATAAAATAGAATAAAATAAAATCAGAGAATAAAAAACACCATTAAGTCCAAATGTCTTCCCAGTAATATGAAACCTGAAAATATTTTTAGGACAAATAACACAACCACATCTATTTTCCACCACACACACACACACACACACACACACACACCCCACAGCATTTCACACAGGCCCTGCAGTATAGTGATTGTCTTCTGTGAACCAAAAGGTCAAATTTGTCTCTTTCATTTTTCTCCTACCTACTCTAAGATATAAGAGGCAACCCAGTATGTGTAGACATTTTCAACAGAACTATGTAGACAGAAAAAATAATTATTTTAGCCCAACTCATTTATTCTTGAAAATTATCTTTCCCAAAGCAAAATGCTACATACTGAATGTAACATGTTTGGCTGTCTAATAACAAATCCATTTTAAACCCTTAATCCTTTGGTGTCTATGTTCTTAACAGATGCACATTTTCACTGATTTCATCTTTTTTAAAAAAGCTTTAGTTATAGAAAATTTGAAACGTCTTCAGACGAAAGTAGACTGAATGGTGTAGTAAGCGTCTAAGTTACCTCATGATCAATTTGATTCATCTACATCCTAAACTTTTCTCCTTTCTTTCATGACTTTGAAGCAAATTCAAGATATTATATCATTTTATCCTGACTACCCCAATATGGGAGGTATAATAGTTCATTTTATAAATAAGTACACTAAGGCTCAGAGATGTTGAATTACTCATCTTAGGCTGCAAAGGTTGAATTCCGACTGTGTAAGACCACCAAGCATGTCTTGGGAAATGATACTAAGACAAAGCCTCTCTGCTCAAACTTCCAGTCTCTCTTAGTCTTCCTTTATATACACGCTGCAGCTGCTATCTCTGATCTCTGGTGTTTAATTTATTAAAAACTTAAAGAATCTAAAGGCAAAGCTAGGAAAGGTGAATTTTTTTCTTCTTCAGTGCAAGAGCTGTGAAGAGCCATTGTTCTGGCCATTGTTCCTTTTATTAACTTGATTAAGTTGGCTAGTTCTCCAAGGTAGGGCCCAGCAGTTCAAGCTCACCTGCAAAGAGCTATCTAAAAAATACGGCTCTTCCAGCTGTAGTTCTACTCGTAGTGGTTTAAACATTGATTACAAGTGGCTGACTCCTTTGGAACTTCTGCAAACTAGCTCTGAAACTTTAAAAAAATGCATGGCTCTTCAAACAGCCAGAATCCCGGCAGGAGAGATGCCTCATTAGGAAGCTGTATGAGCTGTCGTGTCAGCCTGGCTGTACAGGCAGTGCCTGCCTGGTGGCTGGGACTTTCACAGGTCAGTGGAAAACTAGTGCCTAGAGTTAATGTAAGATTTTAATTA